ACATTACATGCTGGTACAAATGACTGGATCATACAGCTTTAATGTTGCTACACCATCCAACATTCACATTCATTCTCTGATTCTTTCTAGCAGAGTTCCCTTTTATTTTTGCCCAATCGCACTTTCTTAATTGTGCCTTTGCATTTATAACTGACTGTTCGCATCTTACCAACCCATTTGTAGGTCTTACCTAAACATGGTTCGACCACCTTGAACAATTTAGTCCATTTTTATCCTCAAATTTTAGAAGCTTTAACTCAATGCATGTAGGATATAAGCATGGACCAGACAAGAACATTAAGCATCTAAATGGTGGAGATTGTAACACCTCAACTAGTCCAATCACTCCCACGTTAGAGGTGCTCTGTGACTGAGATTAATATATGTAAGTACTCACCCCTAAAGAAAAACTTCTGAGTGCTACTTTTAGAGGCCATGGTCCATGTGATTTTGGGCAAAAGTTGTAACACATTATTATCTAACGAAAGCCCTTTTCACCAAACAATATCTACAGAATTGTCACCTAAAAATCCTTGCTGATTCTGTTTTCTTTTACTTTTCTCTTTCTGCATCAGTTACTAGACTGAAATTAATACACATGAAACATTTACTTTTGTTCTCTGAATCAAACAATAATGAATGTTTATGCTAACCAAAGTGTGCTCCAAGTCAGATCTCCCAAGCAAAATGTGAGGAGAAAAGAAATTTGACTGTTTATGACTCATAGCTTCATCACCTGCTGCCTCCAAATTTCCAAGGATGCTCGTAAGGAGAACGCAAAAGTTCTGGAGTCCATTGGGTCCTTCATTTCAACAATGACACCTCCATGATTATCATTGGTCGCTGGTAATATTTCAACTTCCTCCCCCTGTTGAGCCGGTGCTGAGGTTGCAGTTGACGATGGATTTGCTCCACTCAGCAACGATCTTGTGTTGAGTTGGTTTCTGGCTCTACCAGGGAGATCTGGAGGATGTAAAGAGGATTGACCATTTGACATAAAGCTACAATTCCAGTGGGAGATAATTATAGAAAGCAACAGACTTTGGTGCTTAACAAATGCAAACAGCAAATAAATATATTTTTCTTGACTCCATTGGCAATGCAATAACTTTAGCAACACAAAGGTTCACTGAATAAGAGTAGCCCTCCATGCTGATGGGAGCACAAGAGCCCTTTTCCAACTGTCAGTTGAAGAACTACCACACCAATTGCCAACACGATGACACGTTTCAGATCATCATCAATCATTCACAAGGAAAGAAAGCAAGACCAGAAAGAAAATGGCGGACAAGATGAACCAATAAGAACACGAGAAGGTTCCATCACGCCCAGGAAAAATTGGTTTTGACACCCTCAGACTCACTTGGTACTCCAAATTTCCCCCCGAAGGAAGAAATCAGAAATAAGAGAGCCGATGTAAAGCATTTATCTTTCAAATTGTGGAGCAAGGTGTTAGTTTGGCAAGTCCCATAGTCCCACATCGGGAAAATCAGACTTGTTGTCTCGTCTTGGAACTATAAATAAGGGCCTGAGCTTTGATGTTAGACACACCACAAGAAGTACAGCAGGCATCACAAGAAAACCTGCTTATGGTTTGAAGTCTTCTTGTTTAGGAAGCTGAAGGTGTTTTATGACCTAGGAACATTTCCTAAGACATTTGTAAGTGTCCCTCTTTTATAATAGTAATTTGCTCCTCTTTCTTCCGTGGATGTAGGTCAAAGTCATTTGACCGAACCACGTATATCTGGTGTTCTGGTGTTTTGTTTGTTCTTGTCGCTTTTATTATTTCCGCTTTATTGTCTTTGTTGTGTTGCCAAAATTACCCTTTGGTAAATATCCTGGGGCTAGCTCTAACAAACTGGTATCAGAGCCTGGTTCTGAGATCTTTTGGCAACGATGACAATAACAAAGATTGTTGTCGAGAAATTCGACAAAAATGTCAACTTCGGCTTGTGGCAACTCAAGATGGAGGCCATTCTGGTTCAAGACGGAGTTGATTTGGTATTACAGGGAGCCAAGAGCATTCCAGATTATATGTCAAAAGAAGAGCTTGCGGGTATGGATAAGAAGGCCCGATCAAACATCATTCTAAATCTCTCTGACGAGGTTTTACGGGAGGTAGTTACGGAGACTACGGCTAAGAGCATGTGGGACAAGCTTAAAGCCTTGTACATGAAGAGGACAGTGGAGAATCGTCTCTACTTGAAGCAGAGTCTGTATATGCTTCGGATGATTGAAGGTACATCTATACTCTCGTATCTTGATAAGTTTGATTCTTTGGTTATGGATTTGGAGAATATAGATGCAAAAATTGATGATGGGGATAAGGCTTTGTTACTCTTGTGTTCTCTTCCCCAATCTTTTAAGCATTTCCGTGATACTTTGATTTATGGAAAAGAAACATTTTCTTATCCAGAAATTAAATCTGCACTGAAATCTAAGGAGCAGATAGACAGGAATATCACTGGGGAAAGTAGAGAGAATCAGGCTGAGGCTGAGGGTCTGGTTGTTAGGGGGAGAATGGATAAAAGAGAATTTGACAGTAGTAGATCTAAATCCAGACATAGAAATTTGGAATGCAGATATTGTCATAAAATGGGGCACATTAAATCTGATTGCTTTAAATTGAAAAATAAATTAAAGCAAAAGGAAAATTTTGTTGAGAAAACTATTGAATCCGCTGAAGTTAGTGTAGCAACTGATGAGAATGTTGGAAATATTTTCTCTGCTATTGATGACAGGACGAGGTCTAAAAATGAATGGATTTTAGATTCGGGTTGTTCTTATCACATGTGTCCCAATAGGGATTTGTTTTCCACATATGAATCTTGTAATGGTGGAATTGTTTTGATGGGCAATAATGCCGCATGTGATGTTGTTGGTAGAGGCACAATCCGAATTAAAATGCATGATGGTATTGTGAGGACGCTTACTAATGTTAGACATGTTCCTGATTTGAAAAAGAATCTCATCTCTTTAGGCACCCTAAAGGCCCTTGGGTGTAAATACACAACTGAAGGTGGAGTTATGAAAGTTTCTAGAAGTGCTCTTATTGTTATGAAAGCTTGTAGGTCTGGTAGCTTGTATATTCTACAGGGAACTACTGTCACAGGTTCAGTTGCAGTTTCGTCATCATCATTGTCTGATTCTGACATCACCAAATTATGGTATATGCGTTATATGAGAAATATTCGACCACCACAAAGGTATGCAAATTTGGTTGCATATGCTTTGTCTGTTGCAGAAGAAACAAGTGAAGTTGGTGAGCCTACTTCCTATTCAGATGCAGTTTCTTGTGATAATTCCGCTAAGTGGTTGATTGCTGAAGGAAAAGTCCTTGTTCAGAAAATTCATACGAAGGACAATCCAGCTGATATGTTTACGAAGCCTCTTCCGGTTTACAAGTTCAAGCAGTGCTTGGACTTGGTTGGTATTCATTGTTGGTGATTGCCCGTTGGGGCTTTTATGAAGAAGGTGGAGCAAGTTTTGTTGGGACATGCCAAGGTGGAGATTTGTTAGTTTGGCAAGTCCCATAGTCTCACATCGGGAAAATCAGACTTGTTGTCTCGTCTTGGAACTATAAATAAGGGCCTGAGCTTTGATGTTAGACACACCACAAGAAGTACAGCAGGCATCACAAGAAAACCTGCTTATGGTTTGAAGTCTTCTTGTTTAGGAAGCTGAAGGTGTTTTATGGCCTAGGAACATTTCCTAAGGCATTTGTAAGTGTCCCTCTTTTATAATAGTAATTTGCTCCTCTTTTTTCCGTGGATGTAGGTCAAAGTCATTTGACCGAACCACGTATATCTGGTGTTCTGGTGTTTTGTTTGTTCTTGTCGCTTTTATTATTTTCGCTTTATTATCTTTGTTGTGTTGCCAAAATTACCCTTTGGTAAATATCCTGGGGCTAGCTCTAACACAAGGTACTAACTTGATACACAAAGAACGTAAAAAGACCATCTCGATAAAATTCGGAGAAGATGGACTAACTTCATACGCAAATAAATTCCAGTTTGACTTCCTAAACATAAAAACCATAGCAAAAATTCCCTCTCAGTAGATCGCAGAAGAATGTAAGATCTTAATAGTTAACGAGTCCAGCAGAAACAGAAGAAACAACCAAATGCATCATGCTATATACCGAATCTAAAAGAAGCAACGAAACAAAAACGACCACTTGTAAAGCTAATCCGAGAGGACAAGGGCTTCAACGGGGAGTTGGGGATTTTGGAAGATTGGATCAAACACCGCTTGGTAGGGAAGCAAAGCCCGACGGCTCCGAGTCCGAGCACCGGAGGGCGACATCTTAGCATGGCTACCTGCAGGAGAGGCGGAACTTCTCGGGGATGGGTGGGTGAGAGAGGGGGGCGAGAGAAGGGGGAAGGGGGGAAGGAATTGAAGCTACCCCCGCTCGATTTGAGGGGCGTACGTTGGAACTTGGAAGGCCGCCACACCACGCCTCTTTCCTCCTTCATCCCCTTTTCTATTTTTAATTTTTTTTCTGTATATATTATTTTTAATTTTATTTAAGGAAATGTATTTAGAAAATACTTAAGGAAGGATCTATATAATATTTTTTTAAAATATATTAATATCAATTGGTATATATATATATATATATATATATATATATATATATATATATACACACACACACACTTCAATTAGGAAGAGCAAATACAAAAACCACTTATTTTAAAGTACTATATATTATATTTTGATTATTTTATGTTTTTATGTATTGTGATTCAAAAATATCTACTGGTAGTCAAAGTTAGTAATGATTAATATTATAGCTTTGAATTTTTATGAGATATTTATGTTATGTTAATATTTATAGAGGCAAAAATGTTGATAATGATCATGGTGAGGATATATTTGCGAATTTTGAATGAATTCATTTTGTTGGATCAAATCTGATAAGCTAGGAGTTACCATCTGACGAATCAATAATGCCATTAAGCTAGATTGTGAGATAAAATAAGTTAGATTACATAATAGAAATACATATATTACCACCTCAATATTTACAGGGAAAACAAAAGATAAAAGAGGAGAGGAGGTTTTCAGTGGTCGCCTCACCAAACTTGCGGAGCTAAAGCCAAGACAAAAGGGACGAGGAGGGGACGGCGGGGCGCTCTTCCTGGAGGACGTGGGTCCTACAGAGTGGACACGTGGTATGTCTATAGTCGAGCCACGTCTCCAGGCAGGCGGCGTGGAAAAGGTGCCCACAAGGGAGCCGGTTCACCACCGACTCGGCGTCGAAGCGGGCGAGGCAGACCCGGCAGTCCGCGGAAGCGGGGCGACGGAGCCCGAGCGCGGACCCGAACCGCATCGGACTGGACTGGCTGCGGAACCGGTCGGCGAGGCTGGGCTCCGGCGGCCCCGGTGAGGCGAGTGCCGGCTGTGGCCGCGGCGTGGCGCGGAGGCGGAGGAGGTGGAGGGCGGAGCGGAGGAGCTCCTTCAAGATGGAGACGGTGATGGCGGTGTTGACGAGAACGAGAGTGAGCACGCTCTCGGATGGGGTCGGCAGGCTGGAGAGCCCCATGTCCGTCGGATTGCGGGATCCCACGGTCGGATTTCCGTCCCCAAGGCGAGCAGTTTGTTTCGATCTGCGACTGGAGAACATAGCGTCAGATTCGAGTTGAGTTTGGATTTCTTGCCGAAAGATGGAATTTTTAGTAAAACAAAATGCACACTAATTCAAAATCCCACATATATTCCTACGAAATCAGTGAAGAAAGGACGGAGAATGTGAGGTGACCTACCATGGTAAGATTAATGACAACAAGAACGATCTATGACGCCAATGATCACTGTTTACACACCAAAATCCCTATAGAACACGAAGAACACCAACGCAATCAAACTCACTCTTACCTAAGTGTTTGATACGGTTCAGTCGAACTTTTCTGTAGAAACGAACTTCCAGAACAAAACAAAACCACCGATCTTTGAGCTCCGAGCAATTAGATGGCACGAACTGTATTCATTAGGGTCCATAAGAAGCCAAAAAATTGGGGAAAAAGTTGCAGTCCAACTCCATAATCAGACCGATGACAACAAGAACGATGGATTTCTATCGAACAAGAAGAACACCAACCGCAATCAAACTCGCTGAGACCAAAGTGTTTAGTACAGTTCAGTCAAGAAAAGACCGAACTTCTCGATAGAAACAGACTTCCAGAACAAACAAACAAAAAAAAAACCCCATCTTTGAGCTCCAAGCAATTTGATTGCACGAACTATAATCATTGGGGTCCATAAGACGCCCAAAAAAAATTGGGGGAAAAGTTGCAGTCGAACTCCATAACCAGAACCAGGAATCCAAAATGACTAGACATCAATCGAAGTCCAAAAATGACAACAAGAAAAGGGCTTTTACATGGACAAAAATCACTCTCTCGTCCCAGTTCCTTCAGATCAGCTTTAAAGATGTGACGAAAAAGAAAATTTCGCGGTTTCTGTAACATGCACCAGAATAGATATAGCAGAGGACAAGGAGAGACTGCAATTTACCACCTCAAAGAACTGATCGAAAAACAAACCAAACAGGACGCTGTCAAAAGGTCGAACCTTTCGACAGAATCAAACTTTCAGAACAAAAAAAAAAAAATCGCGTCTTCGAGCTAAAATCCATCAGATCGGAGGAACTGCAACGATTAACATGACAAACGAGAATAGATCCGAAAAGCTAACTTTACCACACCTGCGATTCTCCGCCCTTCCTTCTTCGAAGAGGCTCCTCTTCGAGCTCCGGAGGGTACAAAGCGGAGTGAGGGAGAGAGCACAAGCCCGGTGGCTGCATTTATAGATTTAATCCTTCGTCGGACGCAACGGGGAATCCGCTTACCGCTTTGCCTTTCGCTACTCCCGCAGCCGCCTCGCCCTTCTGGAACTTCGCCAACTTTACCGGTTAAGGTCACCACCGGTAACTCTTGCACCTCTCTTTTTTTGGGCCAAAAATATGATTCCAGGACTTGATAATTACATGACTCCTCCTATTATTGCCATTGGGAGTAATCATCAATAAGTATCTTCATGAAAATATATTTCTTGTTAATTATTAATCATCTCGAGTTTATATTGTGGTGGAACAATCACCATAATTTACTTACTGTCTCCAATGAGAAAAATAAGGCACCCAAGCCAGATTTGGTGCATAAAAAAGAGGAAGGTAGAGATATGCCATGTCATCTTTGCATGTGTTTTGTTTCTTCTGAGCTCATCATGCTTCTCCTTTCTCCAACTGTAGCCACTTCTCTGCTCCCCATCGCCATGACTCCCACCAAATGCTGTCTTCTACGTGGCCACCGCTTGCCCTCCTCGCGCGACGCATGGTGGAGAAGAAGATGATAAGGTTCGCCACCTGCCACCAATGACGGGGAGAGCAGACGGACGCGAGAGTGGTGGGAGGCCGCGGGATTCGGAGCCTCTGACCGACTTGCGAGAGAGGGACATGCACGCAATGGCCTCGAAGGAGTCGTCCTGCCGCGGCGGTCACGCCATGTTTCCATGAAGAAGCCGTGCTTATTGGGGGTGGGTTTGGGTGAGGCTGCGAGCTTTTTTGTCGTGGGAGCAATGGCGGTCTTGAACACGTGTATTGGTTGACCTCCTTTTGGTGTTACGAGAGACAGATCGCACATGCTAAACGTGTCCTTTGTGATCGATCATCTTTCGTGTGAGTTGCAGAGAATTCTGGATCGAACTGTGGGATTTTATTATTATTATTATTTTTGTCTTCTTCGTGTTCTTTGAGATCATCTTTTAGTGAGTTGATCAGCTTGATTCACTCCGATTTCGATCCATGTTAAAAATTGTAATTTCATTCAAAATTTTATCTATTTGTTTACCGATAACAGAAAATATTTTCTATTCAGAATATATTCATGTTAAGATCAGTGTCATTTTAGTCATTTCTAATCGACCTTTGGATCAAAATTTAATAGTAATATATCGTTGATAAAGATTAAGATTGATTTATAAGAATCTGATGAGTATATTATTATTAATTTTAACTTAAAATTTTATTTTTTTATTGATAATATTTAAATAAAGACTCCACGATTTATTCTTTTCTTCTGGTACGATAGAGATAATAATTGCATATGTAAAACATGGGCGGCGACCATGACAAGTTATTTCTAAGACGATTTTGGATCAAATACTATCTTTTACTTGGTTTTTCTGTTTTTATACTTCATCATGTCTTTTTCTCTCTACTATACAATTGACACTTTGTCTTCGCATTAGTCCTATATAATTGACACTTTGTTTGGTTATTTTTTTTTATCATTCATATTTTCTTGATCTTGACTTTCAATAAAAAATAAAGAACCTTATATGGAGTAATATTTTAATTCTCATTCCTAATATACAAAAGTCTATGACTATGAGATGCACTATTTCTTGAATTTTTCTTAGTCCACAGTTAGATAAATGATCATAATAATATTTGTTTTTTTCCTCTTTATCTTTCTACTTATATTTTTCTTATTTATATAAAAATATCAGACATTAAATAATTGGGATATATGATTATATAATCATATTTTCTTGGTCTTGACTTTCAATAAAAAAATAGAGAACCTTATATGGAGTAATATTTTAATTCTCATTCCTAATATACAAAGTCTATGACTATGAGATGCACTATTTCTTGAATATTTCTTAGTCCACAGTTAGATAAATGATCATAATAATATTTGTTTTTCTCCCCTCTTTATCTTTCTACTTATTTTTTTATTTATATAAAAATATCAATGCAAGAATTTTTTTTAATCTCACTATGACAAGAATTTCTTGCTGGGATAAATTGAAGACAAGCTAATATACAAAAATCTAATAAAACTTACATTTCCTCTTACATTTATATAAATTCTTAATAAAGATATAGTCTACCATCAAACTAAAAGATATAATCTATCATGATAGACGAATAAATAATATTTTTCTTTTGCGACTCGTATACAAGCAAATGATAAATGATGGTTTATCGATGTTGCTATTTATTAGTAAATGATCAATATTTTGATCCATAAAGAGAGCAGCAAAGAGGATGATGCTTTAGCACTAACTTGCTATTTATTATTACACTACTATTTAATCACTAACTTAATTACATCCATAAGCATGATGCTTAAGCACCATATTCGCTATATATGCTCCAATGGAGTGGGTGGGATGCTCATTGGATACTTTTGATTCTTTAATGAACATAAAATCCATACATGCATATATATATAATCTCATGATATGAAGAAAATACTCTTTGATGTCTCTCAGCTCTTGCAAATTGCACTATCTCGCTTATTGTATTGTCATGTTCGATGAATCCATGACCAATAAGAAGGGCATAATTAGGTACATATTACCTACCTACAAGAAGTTGGGTGCATGATGGATGGTTGGAAAATTTGGATCCATCCATATATCATAAATGTGGTGAAGCCAAAAAACACAATAGTATGTAGTCCAAAGTTGCAACAGAAACAAGCCAAGAAAGTGCATAGTGATATCACACCACCAAGTCAAATGACCTAACATTCATTACCTAATAGCAACCATTTTGAGGGCATTCAGATTATTTTAATTCAGATAATTCAGGACACAGACATCCAAAGCATTGTGTTCTTTGGAAAACAGGTCAAAAAAGCTAAAACAGTGACATCACACCACCACTTACCAAATGCAGCCATTTTGAGAGCATTCATATCATTCCAATTCAATTAATTCAGCTCATAAGTTAATCCAAAAGTGTTGTGGTTTTTTTGGAGTCCACTTGTCAGGCACATAGCTCAAGAAAATGCCACATGAAAAAACTAATCTTCTTATACTTTTTAGTTGACCTTCTCAGTAAATTATTTGATTTTGATCACCTTATGATATAGGATTCAAAAAGTCAACATCAACATTGGGTTAAATTTCAGGTGCACCATACTAAACATGGATTTTGAAATATTTTTAATATGAAAAATTATAAACTCCAATTTAGTCTCACATCTACAACTGACCTCAGCTTAAATCAATGCCATGAGCTACTAATAAGTGCAACCTATTAGGTCTTTTCAAAAGACATTCACCACATTACATGGATAAAACAGGCATCAGATATATTTTGATTTGGTCAAAATCATAGAAATATCAAAATAAATTAAAATCTTGCTATCTAGAAATAACCACACTCCTAAAACTTGCATAAACTCAAATGCAACCATGCAGCAATTTAGCACTGGAACTCAAAAGAAGTCCACTGACCTCAGTGGAATCTAACACACTTTTCATTGGTGATCATGTTGAGCATAATGTGGAGCTGCTGATAACTTGTACCTGTCTTTTGCTCTAGAGAACTGAACAGAAGCATTGGAAGATGACTCCATGAGATTGTAGGGGCATCACATTTTCAAGTCCTGTAATGCACTTGGAAACAAAGGACAAGATAACCACATTTCGACATTTTATATTAGTGCTCACATTACACTGAAGTGATTAGTTTTCCCAAACAAAATCCATCACACTATGCTACCACCAACATCTAGGCTACTCCATCTTCCTATGTTTTTGTTTTGCCTTTTCCTGCCATCACTGGTCTTGCTTCCAGAAGCAGATCCACCACGGGCTTCAGTCAATGCACCAGTTTCTATTGCCTCCAGATACAAAGACTTCACCAAACTTTTAAACCGTCGTCGGAAACTTGGAATTCTAGACATGTTTGTTACAATCCCTTGCAACCTGCACACATAATACATCTTGAAGAAAAAAGTGCCTTCATAGGCTAATATCAGTTTAGCAGACTACTGAAATTAAGAAGTCAATATATCAAGTAAATAGTTTGTCTTTGGGCAATTCATAAATGATCATGCGTAATTGGCTATCACATGAGTCTTGGTCACTACATAATTTAGACGATAAGTGTGGTGTCTCAGTAGTGCCTAGCTTCTTATGCAACATTTTATCCAGTCTTAAGCTTGTGCACATATATTCTAACAATCTCATTCACTAGAGTAACATATGGAACTCAATAGTAAATGAAGATGAACCTCACAATACATAGTGAGACTTGAACATAGGACTCTCATAATAACATCACAAAGTTTATATTCCAAGGATTATTCAGTTATATGCACAATATACATTTTGTACCAAACAAAAATCTTCTCAAATTATCCACTTGTGATCCAAATTTCCATCCAGAAATTGCAATCAAACTTAAAAAAAACCTCAAATGTTTATTAACAAATAATTAGACTACGAGTCATAATCCTTTAGAAAATCTTCCCTTCAAATAGGTTTTCTTTCATTACTTGCATCGCTTGCCAACGTTAAAACATCTTCTTTGGAAATTATCTGATTTTCTCATCTGAATGATTTTTGTTCTCTCTTTTTTTCTCTTCCTACTTGTAGATGCATTTTATAGGAGCTACAACCAACAGTTGGTTTACTAGTTCCAGAGGGCAAGAATTGCTATAAGATCTGTAGGAGACAATGGACAACTGATATCAGACTCACTATGTTTTGAGTGATTAGGATGCAAGAAATGTCAAGACTTTCAAGTAGATTAAACAAAATTTATCTTCTTCCCTCTCTCTAATCTTTTGTAATCCGGTCGGCAATGAACTATTAAAAACATAATGTTAAGAGGAAAATCTATAGACTTACAACAGACTCTGCCTCAGGAGTTCAAACAATCTCTAGTTGTCGTCAGAAATAAAAGTAGATGGCACACCTGAGTGTGCATCTGACACATTGTCTCGAACTTTTCAAGATTGAAATTATCCAGAGTGATAGTGGACATACCTTCTAAATATTGCTTGCAATTGAGCCTTTCGTATGTTGTCATCTGATGGAAATCCTTCTCCATCCCAGTCCTCGGGCTTCTCAGTTTTGCTGGTCAGTATCAGCTTCCTTAAGCAGGCTTCTTCATTCTCATCCAGCTGTAATCTTCTTATCTGGTCCTTCATGATCAGAAGCGGTCCAAGAATCCAATCCAATACTTTATCATTTGGCCAGTTAAAATTACTAACTTCCACTTCATCAGCTGAAGAATTCAAAGTTCAAACAGATATCAGTCAGATGATCTGTACCCTGTACTCACAGCTAGTGGAGAATCTTTAATATGCAAGCCGAATGCCATACATATAAGTAATCCATACGAGTCAGACTTTGCAGACCGTAGCAGACATTGCAGAATACACCATGAAGGCAATTTTACGCTTAATTTCTTGCATTTTCCTTTGACAATACATTCTTCGATGTCTGCAACTGTGATGAGACCCTCACCAAGTAGTATCCTTCCATTTATCTCACAAGATCTGAAGAGCCAGTCCCATATCTATAAGAAAGAAATATCCTAGATGAGGGCAGATGACACATATATACTTTTAATGTTATAAGTATATGCATATATCTGATGAAAGAGAATTTCTGACTTGAATGGGCTTCAGCTGTTGTATTGCCCTTTTCATCGTCCTTGATCGTTCCGAAGCCAACTTTGTTCTATTCAAGCCAGATAGAACTTTCCCATTTTTGGTCTTGTTCTGCTCAACCTCATTTTTCTGCTCACGATGCTCTTGATCAACTTGAGATTTCCGGTACCTGGGCCTGGCTGTCAGTGAGCATTAACTTTCAGAATCTTTGAAGTCTTCAAATAACAATCAGAGCATTAGTTATCTCATCAAACATTTGTACTAGCCCCACGAGTTGGTTAATTACATAGATCTCGTGCTCCAAGGAACATATATTACAAAAAATGCCTTCAATTAGCAATCAGAGCATTAGTTATCTCATCAAACATTTGTACTAGCCCCACGAGTTGGTTAATTACATAGATCTTGTGCTCTAAGGAACATATGTTACAAAAAAGGAAATATTTATGAGTAAAAACTCGATCTGATACCTTGGCAACCAAGATCCTTCTCTCAGATAAAGTAGGTCATTAGTGTACTCATCAAAAATTGAGATCACAGCTACAATATATACAAGACCCATGCGAAGAGAGTCCTCCTACAAATGTAAACAAGTCAAGGATTCTGGAAGCCGAAAGTGAACAGAAATCATTTGTCACAAATCTTAATTTGTTAATAACTTAACAACACATGCCTGATGAACGACCACACCACCATAAAGTCCTAGAAGGAAGCTGCACAGGAATGCAGAGACTAGTGCCCCAATAACAGCCAATGGCCACAACACGATAGCTAAGCCAGCAAAGGGTACACAAACGGTCTCTAAAAAGGGTCCTTCCCTTCCGATTAAGTCATGAAATAGGCGGTGCCAACCCTTCAGTAGCAAGTAGGGGCTCTTGCATAGTGCCACAATACTTATCATGGGCACATCCAATAGGACACCAAGCAGACAAACCAGCAAACAACTTGGTAGCTTTGTCAACCTAGCAGTAAAAGATAAAATAAAATAAAATATGGGTCTATGAAAATTCATAAGAATTGCATTTCTCAGCATAAGAATTTACTGCAACTCCATAAGATTCTTCTACATATTTTTTTTTAGTTTTAAAATGCAATGAGAATTTGGGGGGAAAAAAACCATATATAGATTTAAAATACATATATAGATTCTTCTATATATATATATATATATATATATATATATATATATAATCTACAACTTGGATGATTTTTGTAGCTCACAGCTTAAAGAAACATCATCTGAGTTCAGAAACTTGACTAAATTTGAGTGAATTTTACTGTTTGAAGTATCAAAATTTATAATTTGGTTTGTATAGGATCCAAATTAAGTTAAAAAAAATCAAATAAAGCTTACACCCAGGCAAAATTGTAATACATTCTGGCAATGTAAAACAAAAATTTTGACATTTTGAAGTAGCAGTTGCAGGGTTAGTAACTCATACTTGACATCCATTGGTGTTTCACCAACTGCGACTTTCTCACAAAGGTCATCCATATATGAGAAGTATGAGTGGAAGCAAAAGTCCGTGAAGTCCACGACCAGTGTGCAAGCTCCCTTGATCGTGTCCACGCATCCACCCTGTCAAGGCATCATGAACTGTTTAGACATATTGCTGCTGACACAGCATATTTCCAATGACGAGACATAATGTCTACACGTTTATTTTCAAGTGGCAGGACAGTGTTGTTTCTCCAGACAGCGGATGCCATGTTTATCCATTCTTCAATTGTCTCTTCTCAAATTTATTGAATGTGATAGAAGAAATGGAATTACAAAAATATGCTATTTCATACCACATATGTTCTGTTTTACTGTGGATTGACAACAAGACGTGTGGTGCTTCCTGCAATACTTACAGAAAAGCAGTGATAAAGCTTGTCAACGAAGCCCTCTCCAACAGCCTCAAAGGTTGCAATTAAAGGAGCAAAGAAGCCATAACCTATCGCCACCACAAGACTGCCCAGAATACCTAAAATTGGCCACAGAATCAATGGCAGAGGCAGCATGACCAACAAGAATATTTTGAGAACCAGCCCAAGCCTCTTAGTCCTGCAATTGTAGACAATGGACAAAGAACAATTTACAGTAATTAACAACCCCCATAAAAAATGTCATTGCTGTGTATATCCTGCAATTTTTTTTGGGGAAGGAAAAGCCCTTCTGGCATATTTATCTCTGTTTGAAGAAAACATTACCAAGCATATTAGTTGATCACTGATACAAGAATCATAAACCTAGTCTTTGTTCTACTAGCCTAATTGGTTTATGATGCTAACTCCCAAAATATAAAGAGATAAGATGATGTACTTCATCACGCAGTAATAAGTCCAGATGAAATGTGCTGGCCACATGCCGATAACCACAGAAGAATTCCCGACAAGAACTACAACAGTCACGACAGGGCCGACCGCAGCTGCTGCAAGAACGTTTCAATCATTCAATGACGAATAATTTCAGCAGAATTAACATTCTCATTGAGTGTAGCCCTCTCACTCTCTATCTCTCTCTCTCTGCAATTCTGATGCAACGTTTTACCATCTATAGATGGTTATGCATTGTGCCATCACATGTAATCAGAAGAAACATAATCTATAGGATGATGTTGTGTTTTTCTCTTAATTTATATACCTTGCATTTCCATATAATATTATTTTAACTAAATGATGGTTGTCTCTTCCAATCATCTCCATCAACCGCCTAAACTAATCATACCAAAGTACATATCAACCTATGCTTTGTTGCCAATATGCTTCAACTATTGATGTTTCATGCCATGATGAACACATCTACATCCCAAGTAACCACGGGACGTTGTTATGTGCGCACCTTTGACGACGCCAAGAGCCAGGAGTAAGAAGAAGAAAGGGAGGAAGGAGATGAAGCTCCAGAGGGTAGCCATGACGCCCGTGGGAACCTCCATCTCGGCCTTACTGATGCGGCGGCCGCTTTCTCCAGGTCACGGAAGGAAGCCGAGACGGTGAAAGATGACGCCGATGAGGGTAGAGGGCGAAGAGAGAGAGAGAGAGAGATCGAGAGCGTTGGGAAGGCAACGTGGCTCGTCGCGGAGACGTGTCCAAAAGCGGGAGCGGATTCCCTTTGAAGTTGCTTTTGGGGGTCGATTTGGGCGGCACACGTCGCGTGTCCGTCGTGTGGCACCTCCGCTTCTACTTTGCTCTTGCGTTAATTATGTGCTGCTGTTCTCGTGAGGGTGTATGGTGGGTGGGATTGTGGGATTGCTGTCTCGTTATAATTAACAGCCACCATATATACAAACATAATTTCAATTAGGTTTCACAATTCAAAATCTTTTTAGATTTGTTTTATCCTACTCTTTTTGATTATTTGACAAAGGATAGCCCCTTCATTCATTATGTATCATAATTCTTGAAACACCTTCATTAGAATGAATCACTCAAATTCCTAGTGTATAAGATTTACATTATCAATTATATTATTTTTTAATAAATATAAATTTTTTTATACCTCCATCAAAATTTCAAATAGGCATCTTTACTGGTTTAGGTGTTTTTCGAATATTCTATAATATTTTGAATACCTTCACAAAATACTATATATATATATATATATATTATACAGGTCTTTAAAGTCACAATGACGTTCGGGGGTTGATGAGGGTAATAATGACGATAAGACTCTGGTTGACATCAGTTGCCCCAGATGATACCTCGATTGACCTGACACCACCTGGTCAAACGGATCGGAACGTCGACCGAGGCACATTAAATATCCTGCTCAGGCTCGGTCCTTCACATCACGCCAACACTAGTGTCAGACGCTACCAGGAGTACGAGCCTGCCCCCTATAAGCGGGCACATCAGGAAACAATAAGCTTCCCTATAAATACCATCGCATTCTAAACGAGAAAGGGAGGAGGAGAAAGAAAAAGAAAGACACCTCTAACAACTATCATTTGACTTGATCGTCGGAGGGGTCGGGCCGAGCACCTCGACCCGACCTTTGTGCAGGTGCGAAACTGAAGGTCCCCATCGCCGGACGCGAAGACGAGGAGTTCCTGCCCAGAGGCTACGACGACCCTGTCCCGACCACAGCATCCGAGCACCTCGACGGGCTCGAAAGCCGTCTCGAGAAGATCCCCCGTCATCCGGGCTCGAACCGAGCCGCGTCGGCCCCGAGGCCACGACTCAAAGTTGTTTCCCACAACAGGGGTATACTTGGATAATAAAAGAAATATCATTCCCTAAACAATCCTAACTAAAAACATGAGAAAGATCAACTATCAAATAAGAACTACTTAGCAAGTAAAATTGGTGCAACAGTAAAGCCCAATTGCCACGAACACAGCCGGTTCTGGATTCCCAACATTCATTAATCATACTATTTCAACCTGGTTAACTTCCACGAAGGAACAAGAACTCACACCACAGGCACATTTTGTCGAGCACCTGGTGGATGCTCCGACGAAAACATGGCGGCTGCATCAGTCTCTCATGCACAACTCATTATAGCACACCGTCTCAATTGGCTGGAAGATCAAATGGGGCAGTCCCTGTTTCCATATACAAGGGCTGACCTGAATCCTCCACGGCAGAGAAGAGGTGTGGATCTCAAAACTAGACCAAATTACAGTATATTGGGGGTAGATTTGGGTCGAAAATAAGTGAAAGATACAGCCCATGTATAGACGCAAGAACCAACATGATTAACAATTTAAGTTCCAAGGGGGATCTGTTTCATTGCTCAATATCTTAACCAGAATAATATTCTACAAGTATGTTTGACCAAATCATACTCCCAATAATGACCAAATCATTTGCTTCCCTCAGCCATGCACCAGCATGCCACCGATCATAAAACCTAGAGGAAAAGTCTAACTCATGTTTAATTAATAATTGAAAAGATAGATTGTGTGAAGGAACATCCAAACAAAAGATGAGGTGAACTGTCATCATTCGAACCACATAGATAACAGGTCGCAACCTTCCTAATACATAGATTAGCCAGATACTGAGAAGTAGGCAATCTACCATGCAAAAGTTTCCAACAGAAGAAGATTGTATGGGGAAAACAAGAATTTTCCAAAGATTAGACCACACAATAGGATGAATATGATCAGTAGCATACCGCGAAGCTAAAAAGCCATATGCAGCCTTGGTTCATGATTGCCCCTTGGATTCAGGCGTCCGAACCCACTTGTCATCAGAGGAAAAACTCGACAAATCCAATTTGATCCGAAATCATGCTTGAAACTGTAGAAATTTCACGCAAACATTCCATATTAAGAAAAGTTGGCTTGAAAGAAATCGGCATCTAAAAAAAAATCCAACTATGATCCTTGGCATTAACAAAACGACCATCACCAATAACACAGGAAAATGCAGAACGCAAATCCCACATAGCCCGAGTAAATAGATGCTAGAACCAACTTGCATTAGAGCAATGTCCAATCTGCCAATGAGATATTTATCCATATTTATCATAAATCACTTTACACCATATACTGTCAGCTTTGTTTAAGTAATTGTAAACTCTCTTAGCCCGTAAAGCAACAGAAGTGAGATCTATCTTTTGGATACCAAGATCGCCCTGATCTTTGGGAGCAGTAACAGTTTCCAAGAAAGCAAATGCAGATTCCTTAAAGAAGAGGCTTTATGCCAAAGGACGTTTGTAGACTTCTATTAATGGTTTTCAAAATATGCATAGGCATCCACCGAAAGCATGTGAAAGAAGCCAACACGACAGATTTTATAAGAGTAATGCAGAAACTTTGCATGCCAAGAACTAAGCTTTTTTTAATAGCATGAACACGATCATCAAAAGGTGAAATCGGTAGCCGATGAGGAAAAATCATGATGCCAAGATATTTAAAATAAAATTTATCTTTTTTAATATTCAAAAAAATTACAAATTACAAGGTGAAATCGGTTCAAACACTGGCCTGTAAAAAATTCATAATCCCAAAAATTTTCAATAATAGTTCTGCAAGACTTTTTGTTTGCTCTAAAACACAGAATTATGTCATCAGCATACATCATGTGAGTAAGCTTATACTTGTGCTTGAAGTCAAAAGGGATAAGCTTTTGTCATCTAGAGTAGCCTTGTCCAATTAATGGGACAACAATTGTGCCACTAAGATATAAAGATAAGGTGATAAGGTGAAGGTGGATCGCCTTGTCTAATACCTTGAGCATATTTGAAAAAATGGGAAGGAGATCCATTAATCAAACATGCATGCTCAGGAGTAGACACAAGCATAAATTCAGGAAACAAAAACCTCAGGAAAGTTAAAAGCCCTCAACACATTGTCAATGACATTCCATGACAATCTATCATAAACCTTTTCTAAGTCAACTTTAATGATGACTAAAGGATTTTTTCCCCTTGGTCTTATATATGGAATGAGCAACCTCTAGGATCATCATAATATTATCCTATAATATTATCCTGGATGCTTGGCAAGAACTAAAGAGAAACAAAAGACTATTGGGACACGTCATTTATAAGTGAGGATAAAGTGTAGGGAAGAACAAAAGAGCTAATTGTGCACTACAACTCCATCTTTTGGCGACGCTTGTTTATTAGTTTTAGCTAAATTTATACAATATAGTTGGTTTTACATCAAGTCGAGTGTTGGAAGACAAATACAGCTCAACTTATGTCTTCATTTGAGAAAAAAAAAAACAGAAACAAAAACAAAAGGAAGAAAAGAGATACTTGACTGGGAATATAATGATTCTGGTCCTATTCATTTGCTGAGGCACTCAAGAACAAAATAGTGCAGACTCAATTAAATATGATTGAGAGACTGAACATATCTGGAAAAAAATGCACCATCTAGTTGTCCATTCTGAAGTAATATGTCAAGTAATTGCACTCAACAAGCAGGCACAACTGTGACAGGGCACAGGTGCATTATCCCTGCTGATTTGTCACTTCCTGATTGGATGAGAATGTGGATCCTATATAGTCCAGTTAATTTGTTTATAAGAACATGACAGGATAAAGCAATAAAAGAAACATGGCTATAAGAACAGACGAACCTGGAGCCATCAAGTAAGCACCAGGCAAGACAAAATAGTCACCTTCAAGTTCCAAGTTCCAAATCCCAGTTGACTATTCTTTCCTTCTGAAGCATTTTCTAAGCTGCAAAATGGAACAGGTCCAACCATGAGCTCCAAGTGTAATGGAAGGTAACAACAACATACTTGAGTTGTTCAATGCGCAGAAATCATGGTTCTCCTACACCAAGTAAGAATCAATCATGAGGTTGGATCACCAAATCTGCATAAATAACAAGTTTGATCTGTCTGGGTGGAAATTATTTGCCAAAAGTCATCAAACTTGAATAAACAAAGTTAGCAAGATATTCATATCTAATAATGCATGAATCTGCCCTTTCAAAAGAAAAGATACCACGAGTATCCAAACTCTAGCCTTGCTCAAAGCTGCATCCTGGCTGGCGGCATAGCCAAGCTTAAGAAACCCAAAAATGAATGGTCAAATTGAATGGTTCAAAGTTTTCTTATTCAAACTAGTATGATATCAGGGATGACATCAGGTGTATAGAACCTGAACTGGCAAGATTAAGAATTGATTAAGATAAAGGAATGAATATGATGATTTGGTCAAGTGTGCTTCTTTAAAATTTCATTTCTATCAAAGTACCCTGCATGTTAGTGTAATTATAAGATAAATGCTGTAAAAGTTAACCTCATATATACCCACTAACAAACAACACAGCCTTTGAGTCTCAAAAAATACTACTCTGGATGTGCTCTCAACTGCCCCTAAAAACAATTCCTCAGAACTACACCTAATAGAAAGAGATACAGGTGCAGAATGATGAATCTGTGTATGGGAAGGAATCAAAATTAATTCACTGGTTCCAAATCTGAATGAAATATCAAGATGCCAAATCTTAATTGAGTCCAAGAAACTTCACAGCAAGAACAAAGCTGGTCAACAAAGAATAATTGAGCCAAAATATAACAAAGCAACCACTATATTTATCCATATCATATACACATTATGGTACATAATGATGCAGAACTTTGCAATTTGACCTGGCCACAGACTATGATCAGACTTGTATAAGCATAAAGAAGCCACCATACTTCTCTATATTCTATATATTATAACAGTACACGATTATTCAGAACCTACTTAATCTTTGCAATCTGACAGTTCAACATTCCCCTCAAAAGACATCTTCAAAGAGAGAAGAAGAGAGAAAAAGCGAGGAAAATGGCTACTGCTACTCTACAATTTGCTCTCCAGAAGTTGGACTCCTTGATCATACAAGAACAACAGTTGCTCGGAGGGGTCAACACCGGCATCAAAGATATCAGGGATGAGCTTGAGAGTCTAAAAATGTTTCTAAGGGAAACTGATGTGAGTGAAGACAAAGATGGAATAAAAGGATGGATGCAACAACTAAGAGAAATAGCATATGACATTGAGGATCTTCTTGAGGAGTACATGATTCACTTTGGCCAACCTCATAAGTATCGACTTTTGGGCTTCCTGAGTAAAGGTATTCACCACCTCAAGCATTTGCGTACTCGACACAGGATAGGTGTTGCAATACAAGACATTAAAGCCCAGGTACATAACATCTCAGAGAGAAGAAATATGTACAATTTCAACTTAAATTCTATTGCATCTAGGGAGAGATTGCATGATCGTCATGTGGCTGCTCTTTTTATTGAGGAAGCTGAACTGGTGGGTATTGACAAACCTAAAGAGGACATCATCAGATGGTTAGTGAAAGGAGAATCCAATCAGAAGGTGATCTCAGTTGTTGGTATGGGTGGCTTGGGGAAGACCACTCTTGTTAGGAAAATCTATGACGATGAAAAAGTTAAAGGATGGTTCAATAGCCATGCTTGGATTACAGTCACACAATCATTCGAAGTTAGTGAGCTTCTTAAAAGCATCATAAACCAGTTCTACGAGGAAAGACATGAGGTACTTCCTGGTAGAATTGAAACGATGGGGGACATTCAGTTAATTGATATACTACGGCAATTCCTACAGGACAAGAGGTATCTAGTTGTGTTAGATGATCTTTGGCATATAAACGCATGGGATGATTTAAAGTATGCACTCCCAAATAATGATTGTGGTAGTAGAATTCTGATCACCACACGAATTGGGGATGTGGGTATCTCATGCCTAGAAACACCTGGTCATGTCTACAAACTTCAACCACTGCCTCCAACAAAAGCTTGGTCTTTATTCTGCAAGAAGGCCTTCCGATCCATTCCTGGCAGAGTTTGCCCATCAGAGTTGCAGGAAATTTCTGAAGACATTGTACGAGTCTGTGAAGGATTACCTCTAGCAATTGTGACAATAGCTGGTCTCTTGTCCAAAAAGGAAGGTGTTTTGGAATGGAGAACAATGCGTGATAATCTTCATGCTGAGTTGGCCAACAATCCTAAACTTGAAACTATCAAGAGAATACTGTTATTGAGTTACAATGATTTACCTTACTTCCTCAAGTCATGTTTCTTGTACTTTAGCATTTTTCCTAAAGAGTGCTCAGTCAAGCGCATCACTCTAATTCGACTATGGATTGCTGAAGGATTCATAGAAAGTGAGAAAGGTGAGACTATGGAGAGGGTTGCAGTGGAATATCTTAATGACCTTATTGACAGAAGCATGATTCAAGTGGCGGAGCATTATGACTATGGAAGAGTCCGAAGTTGCCGGGTTCACGATCTTATCCATGATCTTATTGTTCTAAAGTCAAAGGAGGAGAATTTTAGCACAGCTCTGATCAGACAGAACAGAGAGATTCAGGGAAGAATTCTGGGAAGAATTCGACGTTTATCCACACATGACACTGGTGAGCATCTATTACAAACTATAGACTTGTCCCACCTACGTGCTTTTTTTGTGTTTGGAGAAAATGGCTTTTCTATCTCTTCTATGGGCAACCTTTTTAACAGACTGAAATTATTGAAAATCTTGGATTTGGAGGGTGCACCAATTGATAGCTTTCCTGTGGAATTTGGAAAACTACCCCATTTGAGGTACTTGAGCTTCAGAAATACAAGGATTAACAAACTCTCAAAGTCTCTTGGAAGGCTTAATAACCTTGAAACCTTAGATCTGAAAGGTACTTATGTCACTGAATTACCAAAAACTATCATAAATCTCCAGAGACTGCGCCACATTCTTGCTTACCACTATTATACTGGTAATCACCCACCTTTCTACCATGCAGACGGTGTGAAGTTGCCCCAAGGAATAGGTAGATTAAGAGAACTACAGAAGCTCACATACTTAGAGACAGATCAAGACAGTGGCATAGTTCGAGAGCTAGGAAACCTAACCCAACTAAAGAGGTTGGGCATAGTGAAACTAAGAAGAGAAGATGGACCAGGCCTTTGTACATCCATTGAGAAGATGGAACTGCTTCGATCGTTTTCAGTGACATCTATTGGCATGGATGAGTTTCTCAATCTGCAATCTTTGAAATCCCCCCCACCACTTCTTCAACGTCTATATTTGCGAGGACCCTTGGAGACTTTACCAAATTGGATTTCCTCACTAAAGTACCTTGTTAGGATGCGGCTTAGGTGGTCCAGATTGAAAGAGAACTCGCTTGGAATTCTTGAAGCTCTTCCAAATCTAATTGAACTCACACTAATCCATGCATACGATGGTCTCAAGTTACTTTGTCAGAAAGGAGGGTTTCAAAAGCTTAAGATATTGGATTTAGAACGACTGAACAACCTGAACTATGTTATTGTGGATGGTGCAATGCCAAACCTGCAAAAGATGTACATCAGATCATGTATGCAGTTAAAAATGGTTCCTACAGGGATTGAGCAACTAATAAATCTCAAGGAACTTCATTTATTTGATATGCCTGATGTGTTTGTGCAAAGGTTACGGAGGCTTGGAGGGATGGATCATCAGAAAGTTAGTCACATTCCAATTATAAGATCTTATGATAATGAAAACCGCATGTATGAAGAAATTTAGAACTTGACAGCCAGCACAATAGGAGGAACTCAAGTGATCATTCGGTGAGTGCCCATGTCTTCTCTTCCACTAAGCTCAGCTTTTAAAAATAATTATTTATGTTATTTTAGTTTTCCTTTTTTCTTGAAACATATTATAAGTTCTCTATAGCCACCTAATTAATGTTGTATTGCCAAATATGGTCTATAAATTTATCTGGTCATTTATAAAATATTTGTAAGGTCCTTTGGTAAATTTCAGTATATTTTGCGAATATGTAGTCTAAATCAACTCAGATCAACTTTATTTAGAAATACATAATAACCAAGAATGAGCAAAAATAATTTTGTACAAAATTTTCAAAATAACAAGAAAAATAGACATGAAGAACATAAATAATTTAAACAATAACCAAGAAATTTTGTGGATCCTATTAACCTGAAAAATCCTTATGAATATCAGGTGCTTTTAGCAAAGATATCTTGTAAAAACATTTCAAAATCACAAGTAAAATAGACATGAAGAAAATAAGTAATTTATTTAACCAATAATAACCAAGAAATTCTGTGGATCAATTATTAACCTGAAAAATCCTAATGACTGTCAGGTGATCTTAGCAATAGTAATAAATATTTTCCCTCATGAATGAATAGGGAGAGAGAGTTTTTTAACACAAATTCAACCTAATATCACTATTGGTCCTTGTGCAGTCTTGAGAGTAAATTTATTTCATGTACAAAATATTTAGTCAATTTTGTCCTCGTATCATTACTTTCGCCATTGCAAGTCCTTTCAGCTACAATTTGTCCCTACATGGTTGGCATCATCCTTCCAACAAATTTAAGATAGTATGATGCTTCATTTTCCTAGTCATTTAATATCTAGCCTAGGGATTTGTGAAGAACGATGATGTGACCTTTTTTGACAGTCACATTAGTGATCAAACATATGCTAGCTTACCAAAAATGTCATTGCTTTGTTTAGATGATGTAACCTCTTTCACCAGTGTCATGGGTTACTGAACATGTTATCAATTTATGCCATGTTATCGATGACTCAAGTTGCCAGGTTAGATTAGTGACAACTAATACAAATAGAGGTCATATTATTTTGAAGGCTTTCAGTTTGAACCCATAGAATCCATCAGCCACATAGGCAAAACTAATGGCCCAACCACCCAGGACTAGAAGTGTAAAAAATTAACAATTTGGATACTAAATTGACTATCAAGTTATCGTTCAAGGACAATAAAATGATATTTTACTCCAAGAACTATTAGGTGGAAATCAACCGAGGAAGATATATTTAAAGAAGATTAAAAGTGAGTCGATTAGATGAGGTAAGTTGAAAATCTCTGAAGAATTTTTAGAAACTATAAAAAGGACCTCATTGTCCTTTATTTGACTAATGGTGTTGCCTTAGTATGGCTCAATGACAAAAAAGGATCAATATAGTTGATCCCAAGTCGCCCAAGCAAAAAGGCTTATTTTCTCTTATAGTTGATTATATGTGAGTCACTTTGAAAACTCATGCTCCTACCAATATGGTTAATTTCCTTTCTTTATAAATAACTCTAGCATCCATAAGATGTGAATTGGTCCAATTCATTTACAGTTACAATTATGACATATCAAAATTAATTGATATTGTAGGTTAACCTATTTAGTAATTTGCTCTGTTATAATTTCACCTCTTTTACGTATTATAAGACATTTGATGGTGTTTGACAAACTAATAAAGTAAAGGCTCTTTAAAAACCAAATTTGACATCAATATACATCATTTAAGATGATGGTAATTATCATAACCTAATTTTGAGAACCTAAATGAATATTTAATTTATTGAAAAGGAAATATCAAAAAACTAATATATGCACTTTTACAAAATCACATACTCATTTTCTCAACAAACATGAAAAAAGCATTGAAGAATAATAAGAATTAAGATATGTACAATTGGAAATGCAGATATTCCATGTTATTCTCTCTGTGATGGAATACAAACCGTAGAATATGTGGAGCATGGTGGATTGATCTCCAACTTTTGATGTAAAAAACCAAAATATAGTGCTTTCACTAAGAGGATTTCTAATTTACCAGCACTAGTAGAGATGCAAGAATCCTGAAGTTGGTGTAGGTATATATGACTTTGGACACGTGCAGTTAGAGAAAGTGGCAACATTTACAAATGTAAGACTGGGAAGTGCCTAAGACATACGTAGTATGAGTGTGATACAAGGTAGCTCGCTTAGCCTTACTTGATATGTCACATGTGGGAAGTAAGGTATGGACTTTTTGCATCATGATATGCACTGAATCCCTTAATTTGCTTAGTATCTTAGCTTAGAATGCTTTGGCCTTCCTAAATTATCAGTTCAATTATATAAAAAATGATAATAATAAAAGCTCAAATTTTTGGTAACATTGTTATATTGTTCTGTCTTGAATGGATCGACTTTCTTTGATAACAAAAATATGCATCAAGACCAAAAAGCTTTTGGATTACTTTTTTGTAAGATCTTGTAGTGCTAGTTTAGTCCGAATTCTTCATGGATATAGCACAAGATAGATGGAATCAAAATTCCAAATATTAGGATTTATATTTGCTACACATTTAAGCTTCCAAATCATGCTTCTATGGCTCGAATCAAATATTTAAGACTCATGCAAGGTCTCGTTAAGAAACCAGTTTGATATGGTAGAAAAAGGCACGGTTATCATAGCACATATCCTTCTACCAAAAATCCATGATATAATAAACCTTGTCATAATCTTGGATGCACATTTATGCTTCCTAGTTATTCGTGTCTTAGTTCAACAAATATATCAAATGAGTTCTATCTTTTAACTGTACTATTATTCCAGGATTGCACAAAAAGGTATTTAAGGAATTTTCTGTACAGATCTGACAATCTTCTGCCTTTAGCTGTGCATCACAACAAAGATATTTCTTGAAAATCATGTCTGAGAACCATTGAGGTTATTGTTCGTCTTTTATTTGGATGCTATTCTCTCAGATACAATACTTGGTTTTCTATTGCACCGTAATACCTTCAAGATATTCTCGTTATCCAAAACATTGCTGTGGCATGTATTAATTCTGTAACAAATTTGGCATGACTACTTCCATCAATGACATACTTGCTCGAAGGTAAGACTTGCAAGCACAAATTATATTCAACAATGGAGTTAACTATGCTGGAGATTGTAAAAGTAAATCTAGCATATAAATGTTTGGATTTGTATTGATACTCTCTGAATATCTTGAATTTTAGTCATGTGGCTGACTATTTCATCCAAAACAGATGTGACATGGGCATAACAAATCCCAAAAAAGACATGCCGTCTGGTTCAGTTTTATATGAGATTCAGAATAAGGTTTCGTAGATTCTGCAGGTTTTGCCTAATTAGATTTACTTTTCATTGGTTTTGATTGATTTCATTCAGCTTCAGTCGGACAGACTCAGACTGATAAACCCACTCAACTCAAAAGTTTAGTTCACCAAAAGTTTTATATGTATTAAACACATTCCACCAGTTTTTTCCACTAATGTGACTCCAATTTGCAGATTCCTTCCTAAATAACCTTAAAACAGCCATGTTGATAGATTTAGCTCATAACCTACAAAGATTTAAGGTTAAGTCTAGCCTGTGAATGATACATTTACTCTGACAAAATGCTGAACATAAGTGATGTAGTGCAGGTATACGAGATTTAGGTGGACTTGACTCAATATATGAGTTGTTCTAGACTGATAACTAATATAAAAATCTCTAAATCAACATATCAGTCAGCACACAACACAACCATTCAAGTAACCCACCTTGTCACTAGCATGTTTAGTGAGTCTTGTCTATTCAGTAAAAAGGACTGGAGAGTAACAATGAAGAAAGCCTCCAAAATGCATAATTGATATTAATAGCATTTCATCAAGTGAGTTTTAGCCCAGCGGTCGGTGCACCTCTTCACTAGAAGAGGCTCTAACAACAAACAAAAGCGTGATGTACAACATGGCTACATGAGATTTGATGGAATCTCGAACATTATGGATGATAAAGTTTTATCTTAATATGAAATGCATACTCACACACAGGGATCCTCTTTACGTTAACCCATGAATTTGTCCCAAATTTTCCCAGTAACTTTACAGGTGAGGAATAAATGTTTGGTATGCTCAAAGACATCTTGACAGAATATGAAGCTAGAATTATCTACACTCTTCTTTTCGTATGGTAAGTAATATTTCCTCTCTTCACTAATTATATCTTAATTAGTAATATTTGAGCACATTCAGAAGTTTTTGGTTTATCAAAGGTGCTCTAAATTTAAATTAAAAATTGATTCCCATTAAAGTGTTGAAAATATAATTGCAAATACAAGAAAGTTTGCTTAATATGATATATGTCCTTGCATTAACCATGAACCAGAACTCAATAACAAATTCCTGCATACCTCAGCCTACTTTGGAGAAGAAATCCACTCATCGACACTGCCTGAACAAAGCCATTAAGAACAGTGCTGCGAAGTCCAGCCCATGACTCAGCTATAATTTCGATCGTTCTGCTACACAGACTAAAAATAATCACAACTAGTTCCGAAATTCTCAGCTTCACAGCATTCTTTCATCCCGCTGTTTCAAGTCACAACTCCAATTCCTTTACTGGATTCCCACTTACTTCAGCCACATTTTGTCGAGCATCTGACCTTCACGTCAAGGCCGAAGACCAAATCTGACTGCCGCATCATAACCTAAGCGGCCTACGAAGCAAGAACCCGTTACGTAACCATATCATCTCACGCAGGACTTGTCATGGAGCATCGCCTCAATTGGCTGGGAGATCAAAAGAAGAGGTGTCTGTTTCCTTTAGCCATGATCTGAACACATTCTTCCGCACAATCGGAGGATGATGAGATCTCATGGGCCTGTCAATTAGGCAAATTTAGAACAATATTGGGCTTAAATCCTCATTTCTGAGCTCAACACGTTCGGCCCAATGAAAATATTAAGACGGTTGACAAGTGTCAATTATATACACAAATATGTGTTTCTATAGATGTATGAAGGTACTTAAAAAAAATTATTTGTATTTATAAATAATAGATAGAGGATAAATTGAGAGGGTAACATTTAAGATGATTTGGATAATTTCTTAAAAAAATATGAGATAATTAATATTAGTAGTATGAGAAAGTAGGGTTAAATGAGAGGGAGTCTAAGAAAATTGTCCTAATGGTTATATATATATATATATATATATATATATATATATATATATATATATATAT